TTCATAATAATTGTATAAATGTAAATACTTCCGATCTTTCGGCTACCTGCCCTACGCTCCTACATACTTTCTCTTTTCCCTTCTAGAATTTTCTAAACTCCTTCTTTACCTACTTCCAACTCTTCGAAACCGAGCTTACCTGTGTACCATTTTAAACACCCTTCCTTCTTCTCCCTGGCACTCTCGAACAGTAAAGAACGAAATAAAATCTGAAAACCGTACCGTCGCTTTTAAATCACCAACAATACCCACAAAATAAAACAAATTTTTAAGGTAGTCAGAGAAATAGAAAAAAAAAACATACTGTCTGTCGCATTTATAAACCGGTTTTAGCAAAGCCGAACAGTCGGCCGACTAGTCGGCTTTTACTGGCCGAACAATCGGATAGTCGGCTAGTCGGCCAGACCTACAGTCGGTACATCTCTAGTGGATATAGATGATGCAGAATTTGAAAACCACAAAAAAACATTTTTGGAGACTTTAGGAGCTAATATAGATAAAATAGAAATTGAAACAAGAAATCAGAATGATAGTATTAAATGGCAAAGTGAAAGACTCAAACGTTTAACAGCCTCAAATTTTGGCAGAATTTGCAAGTTAAGAAAAAACACCTCCAGAGCAAATGTTGTCAAATTGTTGCTCTATTCAAATTTCAAAGGCAATGACGCAACAAGATATGGACATGAGATGGAAAAGACTGCCAGAGAAGATGCCAGAAGGGAATAAACTGAATATTGCAATCGATGAATGTGGTTTGTTCATTTCTCCAGATCAACCATATTTTGCAGCTTCTCCAGATGGCGTGGTAAGAGGAACAAGCGGCATTGTGGAAATTAAATGTCCATATACGGCCCAAAATTTAACGCCCTTAGAGGCAACCAAGGCAAAAATAATAAATTTCTGCAATATTATTACATTGGAGGATGACAACGTAAATAAAGAACGATTGGAATTAAAAAGGGATCATTCTTATTATTATCAAGTACAAGGGCAGTTAGCAGTAACAAAAAAAAGCTATTGTATTTTTCCCGTCTGGACACCCGAGGATATTCATACTGAAATTATTTTAAAAGACTCAGAATTCTGGAACACAAAAATGGAACCAAAACTAAGGGATTTTTATATGAATTATATACTACCTGAACTAATAGATTCAAGATACAAAAGAAAATTACCACTAAGAGAATAAACAAACAACGGTCAACAAAAATTGTTCACTAAATGGCTACTTTTATGTTTTCTTGACGTTTTATGATTCCTAGAGTACAAAGAAATAGGTTTCCCATTTACGTCTGTCTGTCTGTCCGCCTTCTGTGTTAAATTTTATTAGACAGATAATCTCCGAGTATTTCTTATTATTTTATTGTAGTATTGTTATTATTAGTATTACACTGCACCTATTCACATTGATATATTAAGTGTTTTTGCAAAAATGTTGATGACGTTAACAGAAAATTTTGTAATGGAAACATTAACTTGAGACAGAAACATAACACGCTTCTTTAGCTTTATTTTAACATTATATACAGATCTTTTATTTAATTTACAGGGGTTATCGTAAAAAAATAATAATAGTTGCAAAATCAAGTCTTAGAATTTTTTTGAAGAAGTTGGATATGTTGTACTGTGCTGCAGCGACGAATTATTTTTCAATTTTCCGAGTAATGGGACGTGTGATTAATTTAAGGCATTCTCCATGTTTCATCGAATCCAGAATACGAAAAATATAGTTCCCGCTTCCGTTTGTATGTTGCTCGGTGATTTTATTAAACAAGTAATTTTCGGTCTTTATACTTTAGAATTATTATGTGCTATCACAGATTAAACGCCTGGGAAACAGGGAATCATCTTACTATAGGTATAGATGACAGAGTTATTTTTTTTATTTTTTGTTACTGTTCATGTACACTTGGTCGTTCTGGTATTTTGTTCTTCTAAATAGAAAAAGATGAACCTTTTAAGAATAGTTTTTATTTAATAGATTCTTTTATGTTAAATTATTATTATGTAATATGTTAAATTTTAACATGTTAAATCGTATGTAAAATTAAATTTTATTGTCAACACTATGTTCTCTCATATACGTATGTGTTTTTAATCCTGACTAACTTATCCGTAACCTTGAGCCTTCAAGTGGTAACATCTACACCAGTCTGAAACTGATATCTACAGCTGGGCGGTCGAAATTTATTTATCCCCACTATCGGCCCGCAGTGCCGATCGCTACAGCCTTGTCTTGCTCGCTTCTCGCTTTTCAGTTGTGTATTATTTTTGATAATTCACACAAATAGTTTTATTGTCAAGGAGACGGACACCTGAACATTATTAGAATTATTATTACTCTTATTTCGAGGATATGGATTTTAAAATCATCAACTGACATTCCGTTAACATTATTCTTCGCGTAATTTTCTCTGCGAAACGTAACATCGGCTGCGAGCCACTGGCTTGCCGGGGTACAGCAGCGTTTAAATTTCGACCGCCTGGCCCTACGTGATATCTTTGCCAGCATGCCGGCTTTCCTTCCCTCTTCACTTAGGACACGGAGTTCGACGACGGTACCCGAACTAAGTTGAATCTTTCTGTGTACGCTGTGACTAAGATTCACCTCTCCCCTCGAAAATGTTTACGTCCCTCAGAACTCTATGATTTCACAGTCCGAGAAACGAATGAATGGCTTGAGTAAAACCTGCTCGTAACACTTCGTCAAGTTTTTGAGATACTCTAGTACCAATATCACCTCTTACTGCGTTTGCTTGTTGTTTAAATTCTTTCACTAAGTTTATGGCATCTACCAACAACATGTTGGGTTTTTCTAACTTTTCTATTACCTCAGATACGAATTGATAATTGCTTCTTAGAAAAGCTAGATCTTGTCGCAAATCTTTGTTTTCCAAAATATTTATGCAAGCTTTAATCGATTGAGAAGAATCTTCGCTAAACTCCGTAACTACTTCCTCAAATTCTTTGATATATTTGTCATAATAAAATGTGGCCTGTAACCATGTTCCCCACCTCGTTATAATCGGCTCTGGGGGCAATGGTATGTTTGGAAATTTTTTCTTAAAATGTTGCACTCTTAGTGGGGCTTTAACAAAAATCTTTTTACCATTTGCCACTAATTTATTAACAGTAGGAAACTGCAAACGTTTTTCTTCAGCCACTCTGTTTAAACCGTGGGCAATGCGAGTAGAGTGAATTAAATTGGGGTAAAATATTTTTAGATTATTCCCTGCTTTCAACATATAACGAGCTGCATCCGAGATCATCAATAAAATTTTATTTGCCGGTACGGCATTTAGCAAAATTAGTGACGTACGACTGTCATTTACAAATCTGGTAATCGTATTGCCATTTGTTTTATCTAACATTTTCAAACTTACTACATACCTTAGATCATATAATAAATTTATTATATGATCTAAGCTACATACCCTCGACTAGGGACATTTTCATTTAAGATTCCAACAATTAAACTTGCCACGTATCTTCCACAACTATCGGTTGTTTCATCGACAGCGAACCATAAATAATTATCTCCAATGCGATGTTTAATTTCGTTGTAAACTTGCTGAAACACTGGGTCTACATAATTTTTTCGGAGAGTACTTTCAACTGGAATATGTCGATTGCAGTGTTTTTCAAGGAATTCTTGAAGAGGGCCTTTCTCCAATTTTTTTGAAGGTATGTTGGACTGGATCATCATTTTACATAAATCGAAATTAAACTGAAACTGCTCATTTTTTGTGGAAGTAGATGCAACAGATTCATGTAGGGTCTGCTGTTTAATTTTAGAAACTTCAAACATTTTCTTCTTTTCTACATGAAGAGTCGTTCTGACATATTGCGTCACGTTATATTTTTTATCACTTTGAACCTAAAACAACGTACATATACAGGATTAACAAAGGAAAATAGATAAAAAAAAAATTAGTGGGCTTACGGTTTTCACACAAGCTCTGCAGAATATTTTGTTGTTTTCTAATTTTAATTCTGGAAAATCCCTTATCCACTCATCCGGCGTCGATTTTACTTTCGGCATTCTTTTAAAATATTAGTAATATTACCAAAAATAACTCAATATGTAACAAGGGAGAACCACGTATAACACTGTACTACGACAGATGCGATAGACTGATGGTTGTCAAATAAACGGTTCATTTACTTAAAAGTTTCCATTAGAAAAATTTTAAGGTAGGTAGTTGGGTACAGTAATCCTTTTTTCTAGAAAATCTTCAACGGTCTTGCCGCAAAATGCCGAAAAAGAACATCTGGTTAAAAGCTTTAATTCATTATCAACGGAAGCAAGGATTTAAAGTCATAAAATCTATGGAGTATTTTTCCAATCCTATAATAAAATTTTATAACCCAAACGACCAGAACCTATTCACAGAAAGGGTCTTGAGTGAGTGTACTTCAATGGCCAAGTCCAGGTAAAATGCATACGGTACGATACGGCTAACTAACAAGTATTTGTCATCCCGACAAGGCCGGCATTTACGTTCTCGTACACCCGTCTCATAGTGATGAACTTTTTGTATGATTTTTTTTTATATTAAAAGTAAAATATACTTAGTGTCATTATATAGAAAAAGGTGTACACCGAAAAAGTGATTAAAAAATAGGTATGTCAACATGCACTTCTTGCCTTTTGACTTCATTACGACTACTATTCAGTTCAAAATAAATTTTAAACACAAGTCACTTGATCTGACCTGACCTGACCTGACCTGACCTGACCTCCCTAATGACGTAAATTACTACTTCAAATGTGCTTTCTTGTACATTTAATACAGTTTTGTTATTATTAAATATCTGGTTTAATAATAATTCAGCAAAAAATTTTTTAGTTAATTTAGTTATACTACATATTTTTATGAATATACACAACAAAGCTGAAATCCTTTAACAGTATAAAGATTACTCCAAGTGTTCACACAAGTTTTTTACAGTTTCTCTCTTATTTTTAATCCTTTGTCATTATATATTTTTTCATACAGGTGTATGCATGCGGTGTTATGTCTGCACATCCGAAGCCAGTAGCAACCAATACGAGTACGACGCGTGTCTATACGGCGACGAAAGATATCTAAGATCTGTCACGTGTAACGAACCTTCAGTCTGTGCAGCCTATCATTATCAGAGTAAGAAAACACCTGCATTGTCAACAAATCTCTGATGCAACGCTTTTTAGCACTAATTCCAGGATCTCTAAACCAGCTGAGCACAAGCAGAGGATGTCAGGCGTTGCGTTACGGCGCTACGTGTGAAGACATCTTCAACGATTTAAGGAAGACAGGGTCGGTCTTGCCCGGGCAGCACATCTGTGCGACGTGTAGCGAGGACCTTTGTAACCGGGCCGCCATTTTTCCAACAGGACCTGTTTTAGGCGTAATGTCGATATTTCTGTGGGTAGTGAGGTGAACTGACCTCTCGTTTCGATTTTCTATTTCATCTTCAGGGCTTTAATTATTGTACGTTATTATTTTAATAAAATTTAATCGTAGCTTTTTGTTTGAATGGTTCAAGGTAAATCTCCGTGTCTGAAAAATTACGTAAATATATTTTGGATGTTTGAGAACTTTAATATATACACAATTTCATAACGCTGATAACGTTCAATGCAAATTTACTTCATATAAGTCGGTTACTTGAGAATGTGAGTCTACCGCTTTGGTGATGGCCCTTCGAGTGATTTGTGCTATTTTGGTGGTGGTTGCCTTTAATAATTTGGACTCAGGTATTGTACTCGTGCACAAATATTCTATTTGTTCTAACTGCTGAAATACGAATTTCAGTAAATACTCTGGATTGTTATTCCTGCACAGCTTCTTTGGGGAGTAATTTCAGATGTGAAAATTTGTCTTACAGTGGCGGCACTTTACCTTACTACACTTGTATGTATGGTGATGCAGTCTGCGCAAAATATGTGATTGAATGTAAGTAAACAATTTCACTCATACAATGTTTAACTTAAAGTTCTATTCTTTAGATGGAGATTCATTGATGATTCACCGTAGTTGTCAACACAGAGATATATGTGCCGTTTTAGCCGCGAAGTACAACAATTATTACAGCAAACTTTTAGATTGCCAAACGTGTTCTGATCATAACTATTGTAATCATAGTGCGGTTCGCAAATTGGCGCCATTTTTAGCCTTAACACTGTTCTTCTTGGGAAGGGTTTTTAGTTAATTTTTGTTGTTTATTTGCGGAATAAATATAACACAATGAAATGTTTCGTGTTTTTGAATAGTTACTGTCGTTATAGTAAATAATGTATCAAAAAAATGATAAAACCTCATGTACCTATCTACCTCGTATTTTTATATAATCATTACAATAGAGAATAAAAGTGTTCCAGTAGAACAATGGAAGATCTAACATCTTGAAAAGATAAATCTCTATCATCGTATTGTTCTTGAAGGTCTAAGCTTTCTTAAATTAAGTTATTGACTTTATATAGTTTTCTAGGTTTTCTTTACGATTAAGAAATAAAGTAGGTGTAAATGTTTGCGTTTTTCTGGTTATTTAGTTAAGTAAAATTATTGTTAAAATCTTTAAATACAGTAGTGTAAGGTAGAATTTTAATTAAACTTTGGTTTAAAAAAAATCTTTATAGCCTACATATGCCACTTACTTACAAATAAAACAAAATGTCCTAGAAATACTCAAGAAAAAGGTGTGTAACTCTGTTACTTGAATAAATATCATCCTAACTTTGTTGCTTGTTTGGTTCTTTCACAATTTTATTTTCATTGAGACTATGGAATTGTTAGACCTTGGACGTCACAACCGATGAATAATTTTCTTAGTAAATTTACGAAAATGTAATCTTTACAGCCCTTACGCAAACAAACAAAAGTGGTATAAATCAGGAACTTACTGTGGCTTAGATGCAGTTGCAGTAAACATGGCTCCCAACATTGTCTTCTTGGTGTTAATGTTAACTATCGGTTGGGGTGAGTTTATTTTAAAACCTACTTCATTTTTAGCTGGAGTTTTACGGAAGCTAAATTGCTTATTTTCTAGGGGAATCACTAAAATGTTACGAATGCACTACTCATCTAGATCCAGATTCTGCGTGTGTGGATCTCTCGAAAGGCAAAGACACGGTGACTTCGGCAGAATGTCCGAAAGACCAAGTTTGTGCTGTATTCAAGTCTAAAAGTAAGATTTTTTTGTATGTATTACAGGAAGTGAAAATTTTGTATTGCAGATCCAGCCACTGGAAGTGGTACTATAACAAGAACTTGCAGCCAAAAAGATATCTGCGAAAATCTACATGCTAAGGAGACAAATTACAATAAAATAGAAGACTGTCATACTTGTGACACCGATCTTTGTGGTTCCGGAAATTTTAATGGAGTTCCAACAGTAATGCTGTGCACTTTGATGGTTCTTGGGACACTGACAAGTCATTTCTTATTGTAAAGTGCACAGGTGTTGCTTTTATGATCAATTAAGAAAGTTACATGGTTTTATTCGTTGTCGGTAGTGTTTTGTATGTGAATAAAATTTAATGCTTAATTTATTATCAATAAATAATTATTATCAAAGCTAAAAATTGTGCTTAATACACATTTTTAAAACATTGAGTAAACTTTATATAATATAAGCGAGAAAGATCACAATGGTGTTTTAGCAAAACTCTTATGGTTTTTAGTACATTTTTCTAAGCCACACTTGCATATTTTTTAGATATTCTTTTCTGGGTAATCAATTAATCATTGTTACTATGTAACTCATTATTAGAAAATTTGCAGAATTTAATTTTTATAACCGGTATGGAAACAAAAGGAAGCCATAAAAAATAAAATATGCGTTTAACGCTCTTAACCAATTTTTTTTTACAATACTGTCTCTAAAATTGCGAGTAATCAAAACTAGATTTATTTTGGAAGAAAAATTGCTAGTAGATTTACTGGAAAAAGCAAACTAGACACTGTGCTAACTCAAACATCCCGACATGTACACTAAATTGTCAAACCCGCGAAAAATTCAAAATTACAATGTAATAAATTTAAAGACACGTATTGTTTCACTCACATTCATTAACCTGTCTTGTACCAGGTTGATAAAATTAACTGCTTGAAGTTTTTTTGACACAGAAACGCAAAAATATATATTATTCACTTCTGATTTGATGATATTTTTACTGAAATATTTTTAAATCTATTTTAACAAAGTAACACTGGGACTTCATAGTTTCTGATAATTATTATACAAAGTTATCATTAAAAACAGCAGATCAAGTTGTCACAAATATCATTTGCAACTTAATTTTCTGGAGCTTTTTCACAATGTTTGCTGCTTGATAAGTAGGCAACCAATAATTTCGGTCACATGATAAATTGTTATTTATAAAACATGGAAGCGGCAAATTCTTATTAAGAGTGTAGTGATAGATTTCCCAGAGCCAACTTGATGTACGATATTGTATTAACCTGTGCACACTTATGATTAAAATTTAGTGTCAGCCAATTTATCAGACAGCACTCAAATGCTATGAAACATTAATCTTGAAGCCTAAAGTTTGTTCTACGTACTTCTGTTCTACTTTCCTGTAGTAATCTAAGAACTAGCGACCGATTTACTTTATACATTTAAGTGCTTATGAAATCGGTGGATGAAGTCAAAAAATCAGTCTAATAAATATGTCTAAATCCCAGAACAAAATTCCGTCATCAAGCCACCGCCAATGTTGAAAAAATCTTTCTAAATTTGGGGTTGCTTATTTCGGCCGGTAAACCTTCAAGGCTTTATGGACATGTTGTGGTGTCTCAATTTAAAAATTAAATTTTGCGCCGAAAAAAAATGTCACGAAACCTCAGAAAAATCATTGCATTACGTAGGCAACCAAACATGCTCTAGAGCGTCCAAAAAATTAGAGAAGACTACTCCTTTATGTTGGCAGTTAGGAATTTCAAATGTACAGCAGGTATACAAAATTTTAGGGAGCTTGATCGGGCCACTTGTTGCAGTGTAAACACGTGTTAAAATGGGCACGCAGAATTGTGTTTATAATTTCACCAATTGTTTAAACAAAATCAGATTGCTTTCAACGGCCATGTCCCCCTTCAATTAGTATAGTTAGTGTAATCTGAAAAATGTTTGCTTTCTTCAGAATTTTTAACCGTTTATGATTCTAACACAATTTTACAACAATAATGAACCTACATCTTAAGTAAGTAATATATCTAAAGTTATGGCTGTTTTATTTAAATTATTATATTATCCAGACTTAATAACTTGTCACTCTAGATTTAAAGTACTTCATTCATGGCATTTAAACCTTAAAAGTTGATCCAGTTAGAGAAAAAGGACCTTGAAAAATTGGCACCAGCTAATCGTGGAATCTAAATGGGAGCGATATTTTATGTTTATTTTATACCATATTAATGACATCAATGCGTGATTTTCCTATAACCCAGATTTAAACATTTATAGGTAAGCGAAGAAAAATATTGCTGCCTCGGTGAGAATCGAACCATACGTTTCGCGCTTGCCGGGCGGGTGCCCTGACCACTAGAGTACAGAGCGGCTTATCTTTCTTCCCTTACTACTACTTATTATTGTGTCGCCACACATTGATTCTCGAATTATTGTTCTCCCTGGCACTCTCGAACAGTAAAGAACAAAATATAAACTGAAAACCGTACCGTCGCTTTTAAATCACCAACAATACCCACAACTGGTGACCCCGACGTGATTGAAAGAAGAAAAAAACGTGAGTATTATACCAGTGATCGCGACGAGTATAGTGCGGAATTTCGAGTGAAATAAAAACTATGGCGTCAAACGCGAATTCACCCGCGACCCTGTCATCAACCGAGTTGGAAAAATTAGTCTGGATGGAAAACACCGTGGCGGTCCTCCTACAGAGGCTGGCTGCAATAGAAGTCCCCCAGGTATCGCAGCCCCAGAACCGTTCGCCCTCAGACTCGCGGCCAGAGACATCGTCGCGTTCGCGTTCGCAATCGGGATCCCGTCATCGAACGAAAGGCGACAGCGGTATTTGCTATTACGACTGGCTGACATCAAGAAGATGCGACAAGCCGTGTAGGTATAGTTCCCTACCGGCGGGAAACGCCGAGGGCAGTCGTTAAAAACGGCCATTGACGCCTGCCCCACCACCCCTACAACAACATCGAGCCGTTTATTCGTCACCGAGAGGACAACAGGAAAAAAATTCCTCATCGACACCGGCGCCGATCTGTGTGTGTTCCCGCATGCCCTGCTACCAAAACCGCGTACGAAGTCCGCATATGAACTTTCCGCGGCAAACGGCACCGTCATCGCGACGTACGGAACAATCACGTTGTCGTTGAATTTAGGCTTACGGCGCGATTTTACGTGGAGATTTGTTGTCGCTGACGTGGTAAAACCCATTATCGGAGCCGAGTTCCTGGCTCACTACGGACTCCTGGTGGACATACGAAACCAGCGACTGTACGATCAAATTACCCAACTCACTTCCATCGGAGAGGTGACTGAGTGTGAGATCCCGTCCGTAAAAACCATCGCCGGAAGTTCACCGTTCCACGAACTCCTCCAACGGTTTCCCGATGTCACACGTCCAGACGGAACCCCTAAGGCGGTGAAACATTCCACCCGCCACCACATCGTAACCACGCCGGGCCCTCCCATTGCGCAACGTCCCCGAAGACTCGCGCCGACTCCAGGCAGCAAGAAAAGAATTCGATGTCATGGTCCAGCTAGGAATCGCTCGCCCTTCCCAAAGTTCATGGTCTTCACCGCTTCACATGGTGCCCAAAAAGGGCGACGAATGGAGGCCATGCGGAGATTACCGTGCCCTCAACGCGAGAACCTGCCCCGACAGGTACCCGGTGAGGCACATCCAAGATTTTGCGCAATCTTTACACGGCAAAATCACATTTTCAACGATTGATCTGGTACGCGCATTCAACCAGATCTCGGTCGCAGAAGAAGACGTTCCGAAGACTGCCATTACCACCCCATTCGGCTTGTTTGAATTTCAATTCATGACGTTCGGCTTACGTAACGCAGCGCAGACGTTCCAGCGATTCATGGACGAGGTGTTGCAGGGTCTCGATTTTTGCTATGCATACATCGACGACATCCTCGTCGCATCCGCATCACCAGAAGAACACCTCCAGCACTTGGAAACTGTGTTTCAGCGCTTGAGAGAGTACGGCGTCGTTATCAATCCCATGAAATGCATCTTCGGCCAGCCAGAGGTCAAATTTTTAGGATATCTCGTTTCCGGCGCAGGTACACGTCCACTTCCAGAAAAGGTCGAAGCAATCCGCAGCTTCCCGCAGCCAAATACAATAAAAAAGTTGCGTCAGTTCTTGGGTATGTTGAATTTTTTCAGAAGATTCCTACCTAAGGCGGCAGAGACGCAAGCACCTTTGAACGACCTCCTCCAGGGCAACGTCAAAGGAAAAACTCCGGTCAACTGGACACCAGCAACGGTGGCCGCATTCGAGGCGTGCAAGGAGAGCCTCGCCGGAGCCACATTATTGGCACATCCCGAGCCAAACGCACCATTGGCTATTTTTTCTGACGCGTCAGATTTCGCCATCGGAGCAGTCCTCCAGCAGAAGGTTGATGGTCACTGGCAACCGTTGGACTTCTTTTCCAAAAAACTGAGTCCCACCGAGTCAAACTACGGGGCTTATGATCGAGAACTACTAGCCATTTATCTCGCAGTCAAACATTTTAGGCATATGGTAGAGGCGCGGTCTTTCACCATCTACACAGACCACAAGCCAATCACGTATGCCTTTCAGAAGAAGAATACCGAGTCCTCGCCCCGCCAAATACGACACCTGGACTTCATCAGTCAATTCATGACTGACATTCTCCACATAGCAGGGAACGAAAATGTTGTCGCAGATACTCTTTCTCGCATCGAGGCTGTGGAAACCTCGATTGATTTCCAAGCTCTGGCAGCAGCACAACAGCAGGATGAGGAACTCGAGAGATTTCGAACAGGTAATACAGGCCTGCAGCTCAAACTGGTACGAATCCCAGGCTGCGACGTATCGGTACTCTGCGACGTCTCCACGCGAACAGCGCGTCCTTACGTCACCGAGTCATTTCGCCGAGCTGCATTCGAGTCGATTCATCGTCTATCCCATCCAGGCGTTAAAGCGACCGTAAAACTGGTGACGCAACGTTACGTCTGGCCATCGGTCAAATCAGATTGTCGAGAATGGGCCCGCAACTGCGTAGAGTGTCAACGTTCGAAAATCTCACGCCATGTCTCTTCGCCCATCGGTACATTCTCGCCACCATCAGCGAGGTTTGAGCACGTGCACTTGGACATAGTAATTATGCCACACTCAGAGGATTATCGTTACTGCCTTACCATGGTAGATCGGTACACCCGCTGGCCAGAAGCCGTACCCATTAGCGACCAGGAAGCAGCAACCGTGGCACGAGCTTTTTACGACACATGGATCGCACGATTCGGCACCCCGCTACGAGTAACCACCGACCAAGGTAGACAATTCGAGTCGTACCTATTTAAACAACTAAATTGTTTATTAGGAACCACTCATTTGAGAACTACAGCCT